GGAGGAGCAGGATAGGGGACGTCGCCGTCGCGAATAGCGTCGAGCTCCATACTAGGAGCATCAAGGTCCGCGACTCCGCGAGTCGTCCTGCTCCATGGACAGAGAGGCGGGTTCGGCCTGAGTTTGGAACGATGGGGGAATCGGCGGGAGACGTTGGGAGTCGTCCTCGAATTCGTCGGTGTCGGTCTGCGTCATTGGGGACGCGAGGGGCGAGCTGTACACTAAGTGCACAGGCTTGACGGCTTTAAATGCTATAAAGGCATTTAAGATGTCGGGACATTTTTTTTTTCCAGGAACTGTGAGAACAGAGGCATATCGGCCTCTAATAAGGACATTTTTCACACAAAGGAATAAAGAATAACAATATAAAAATGAGATAAGAGTACTTAAGATAAGAACGGTCGTCGGCGGGTGCAGCCGACGGCGTCAGCGGGGGCCTCCCTGCCGGGTGAGGCAGGGGGGTGAGTGCCTATTGATATGTGACCCTAATATGTAAGATCACTAATCTTATTGTGTGAAAAATGTGTACCTAAGCGAACCTACTTGGTGGCGTCGGCGGCGGGCGGCAGGCGTCGGCGGGTGTTGGTGGCAGCGGCGGCGGCTCGGATCGGCGCATCGCGCAATAGGCGTGACGCACCTCCCTAACTCACGACAGTCCGTGCCACTGAACGTCCACACACAACACTTCACTTCACTTGAACGAGGAAAGTTTCTCCTTCAGTCCTCACAACACAACACTACACACGCGGAAAGTCCGGTAGCACTGTGTCGGAACGGATGCCGAGAGCGCGGTCGGCGCGGGACACGGAGGCCCCGGGCCACGCTAGGTGCACCTAACACGCGGCAAAGTAGAATGAACGCGCGATCGTAACTTTTTTTTTTTTTTTTTTTTATTAATAATGGAATTGCGCTTGGTCTTACCTCATCTGATGGTAAATGATGGCAAGACCTAGGATGTAGCGCGCTTACCCAGAAGATATCTATTCACCATAGACTTGAAGAATCCGGGGTTGTATTTCTCCGGGAACACAAAAGCTGGAAGTGTGTTCCACTCTTTGGCAGTGCGTATTAGGAAGGACGATGCGAACCGCTCAGTGCGAATGTGTGGAATTTCCACGACGTACGGATGAAGTCCCAGTGGTCGTCGTGAAGTTCGGTGGTAAAAACGAGAAGGAAAGATCAAATTATGTAAGTCCTGTGCGCACTCGCCAAAGTGTATCCTATAAAACACCGACAGACTGGCCACTTTGCGTCGATGTTCTAGCGTCTGAAGTCTAGCTTTTACTAAAGTGTCATCTCCAATTAACCTCAAAGCTCGGCGCTCAACAGAGTCCAAGGCAGCCAGCTGATATTTGGCAGATCCATCCCACAAGTGGCTACAATACTCCATGCACGATCGAACTTGAGCTTGGTATAGATTTAGAAGCTGTTCCGGCGTAAAGTATTGCTTTACCTTGAAGAGGATGCCAAGTTTTTTAGCAGCAGTCGCTGCTTTTTCCTCAATTGAGCGACCAAAATTAAGGTTAGAGGTAAGGTTTAGACCTAACAGGCCAAGACCATCGGTGAGTGGTATGGACACACCCTGGAAAGTAGGAGAAATATCGAATTTACTCCGTTTGGCACTAAAAAGACACGCCTGCGTCTTGGAGGTATTGAACGCAACTCTGTTAGCTTCTCCCCATTGGGATACAGCACTCAGAGTCGAGTTCACCCTGTCTACCATCTCCTCTCTGAGAGATTGGATATCGACCTTACTTGCTCGTGCATCAGAGACATATCTCTCCGCAATTGTGCTGTCGTCCGCGTAACCAAACATGCCCGGTCCTAACAGATCGTAAATATGGAGCAAAAAGAGAGTTTCAGAGAGAACAGATCCCTGAGGCACTCCAGCATTGATGGCTATGAGGTCTAAAGTGTCACCATCAACGTCAAATTACTGAGAAGGTTAGCGTGCCAGATCCTATCGAAAGATATGTCAAGTAAGACAACTAGAGCCTCGCCATGCTTGTCGACAGCTTCACCCCATAGATGTGTGGCATGAATTAGAAGAACACCAGTAGAGCGACTCTGGCGAAAGCCGTACTGACGGTCACTAAGAAAGTCATGATCTTCTAAATAGCCAAGGAGTTGAGTATTCAATACACGTTCCATCACTTTACAAAGTATGGAGGTTATTGAGATGGGTCGATAATTTGAAGGATCAGTTCTACTACCTTTTTTGGGCACTGGATGTACGTTAGCTAGCTTCCACGGCTTAGGGACAAGACCAGTTCTTAGAGAGAGACGGTATAACCGTGTGAGAATAGGAGATAACTCGGGAGCACACTATTGCAGGTACACCATCAGGGCCACTGGCTTTGTTGACATCCAGGTTACGTAACGTTTTTAAAACCTGTTTCTGAAAAATACGAATCTCAGGCTGTAGAGGACAGCGTGGAATAACATAAACTATGATTAATAATAATGTAAATATAGATATTATAGAGATAAGTTTATAATAACGTAAATGTAACGGTATGAAAAACGAGTAATAATGTATGTAAACAGCGTTTAGTCATGTAAATATAAGCTATATGTTAATATAACTATAACGAACTAGATATAAGTAATGTTCCTGTTATAGTTGTAGTGTTTCACTATTGTTAAATGTGAAAATCGATGTAAGTCAAAGATAATTTACCTTGTATTTATAAGAAATACTGTTGTGATGTTTATATATGTGTACTTTTTAGATAGAGATCTATGAAAAGTTCATATGTAAATAAGAATTATACGGGGGAAAACGTGTTACAGAGGTAATAACATCGAAAAACTCCAAAAGTCATAATAAAAATTAACTTTAGAATCGAGCTAAAAACACGGAGCTCACGATAAGGTATTGCCTCTGGAATACGTAACCAACGAAATTTGTAATGGAAAAGGGTGCCTAATTATCACGTGTACAGACGCGACGAAAGGTCACCGGCGGGCAAAGGGTACCGCGGCACAGCGGTACTAGTCCGCCGCGACGTAGTACACGTGGAATTAGAGCGCCCCGAGTTCCGCGTCATGCGCACCATAGGCGTGCGCATCAATGTCGACGGCGCGGAACTGAAGGTCCTGGCAGCGTATCGCCCCCGGTGCCTGAATTTTGCCCCTCCGATATCCGGAACGTACTGGATGGGAGGAGCCCTACCCTGCTAATGGGCGACCTCAACGCGAAACACACGGCTTGGGGTTCCCGTCTTGTTTCGCGGGTAGGTCGAAGGCTCCTCCAGGATTCCCAAATCCACGGGTACGAGGTGTTGGGCCCTGCACACCCCACCCACGTACCCACGAACCCGAGACATAACCCAGACGTTCTGGATATAGCCCTGGTACAGGCTGTGCCCTGCCCGGTGACATTGGAGGTGCTGTACGACCTCGATACGCAGCACCTCCCTGTCCTAGCCACGCTTGACCTCTCCACCACCACCACCTCGACGAGACCGTCGAGGCGGCGGATGGATTGGCGCGTTTTTCGCGCAGAACTGGAGCACTTGCACCTCGACGGCGACCTATCAACGCCCGAGGGCATAGAGGCCGCCTCCGTCTTCATGACGGAGCGAATTCGCTCCGCCACTGAGGCGGCCACTACCACCGTAAACGTGGCTTCTCGCCGTCGAGAGGAGCTGCCATACCATCTGCGCGAAAAACTGGCGCGAAAGAGAGATCTCCGCCGCCTATGGGCTCGCACCCGCTGCCCGCGGGTCAAGCGTGAGCTCAACTGCCTGGCTGCGGAGCTGTCGGAAGGGATGCGGGACTGGCGTGGCTCCTCCTGGGAGGCCGTCATCTCCCGGGCGGACGAACACGCCACCACCCTGCACGCACTCAACCGACAGCTCACCAACGCACGACCCCCGTCTGCCCGTTGCTAGACGAGACGGGCAGACGTTGTTACGCAGCTCAGGACCGGGCAGAAATCCTGGCACAGCACCTGGAGGGGCAATTTACGGCCAATCCCGTCGCCGCCGACGCACCACGCACTGTCGTCGAGCACCACGAGCGAGTCGTACGTCGCGTATGCGAATTCCGTACCGCTCCGTCGCCGGACGTAAACGAGGTGAGCTTCGTTTCGCCCGGCGAGGTAAGGCGGCTCGTCAGCCGCCTGCCGAAGCGCAAAGCGCCCGGAGCGGACGGGATCAGCACCGCAGCGCTCGCACAGCTGCCCCGTAGAGCCCTAGTATGTCTAGTGAGGCTCTACAACGGCATACTCCGGACCGGCCACTTCCCCAACAGCTGGAAGTTGGGTAGAGTCATAGTCCTCCCGAAACCCGGCAAGGACAAACGTCTGCCGGCAAGCTACCGGCCCATCACTCTGCTCTCGCACGTAGCAAAGTCGTTCGAGCGCCTTCTGCTCCGCCGCTTGAAACCGACCCTGTCGCCTCGCGACGAACAGTTCGGTTTCAGAGGCGGACACTCGACGACTTTGCAGCTGACGCGCGTGCTCCACCACATGGCTGTCGAGCACAACCGCGGCCACTACACGGTCGGCGTATTTCTCGATATAGAGAAGGCGTTCGACCGTGTGTGGCACGACGGTTTGGTGTCGAAATTGCTCGACACCAACACGCCGTCAGCATACGTGCGAGTAGTGGACGCTTTCCTCTCGGGCCGGAGCTTTTACGTTTCGGTCGAGAACTGTGACTCTACCACACGCCCAATCGCCGCCGGAGTCCCGCAGGGCAGCTGCATCTCGCCAGCGCTCTACGCGACGTACACAGACGACATCCCCACCTTGAGGGATGAGCTCCGAGAGGGGGAGAGGGATGTCGTCCTCGCACTATTTGCCGACGACAGTGCCTTCCTCACGTCGTCTCGCCGAGCCTACGCAGCCGCTCGCAAAATGCAGCGGCTGTTGGACCTGCTCCCCGAGTGGCTGGATAAGTGGCGTACCACCGTTAACGTGGGTAAAACGGTGGCGCTGCTTACCCGCCCCGGGGGCAAATATCCGCCGCCCCTCGTATTGAGAGGCCAGCCCATCCAGTGGGAACGCACAGTGCGTTACCTAGGGGTGGAAATCGACCGGTCGCTGCGTATGACGCCGCAGGTGGACCGGGCCGTTACCCAAGCCAAGGCCGCGCGCGCTATGCTGCGACCGGTCTTGCAATCCAGGCTGCAGCTGCGGACGAAGGTAGGCATTTATAAGACCTACATTCGTTCGCGGCTCACATATGCCGCCCCCGCATGGTACGCACTGTGCTCGGCCTCACAGCGGCGGAGACTGCAGGTCCAACAGAACGCCGCCCTCCGTCTGTGCACAAATGCCGGACGGTACGTCCGTAATGACGTGATCGCCCGCGACCTCAAGGTCCCATCGGTGGAGCAGTTCGTCGTCCGGTTGACGCGCGCGATGTTCTCGCGCGCGGACAGCGGGCGCGAAGCGCACCTGCGCGACCTCGCCCCTCTCCACGCGCGCCCACCGGACGCCACTCGCGCGCTCCCGCGCGACTTACTCTCCACCGAGTGATCACGTCATTTACGTGACGTGGCGGCGTTAAGCCGGCTCGGCGAGCGACTTTAAAACAGTCCTCCCACACGACTCCCTCAGCCGGCTGCTGGGAAGCAGCCGGCTTCCGGCCGGCCGGCAGGCCGGCCGGTAAACGAACGACGCTGGGGTGGCACACCCCAGCAGTACGCCCGGGCAAAGAGCCTATGCTCGAGGCCCGCACCCGGCGGTCCGTAAGGACCAGCGGACGACCTCGACTGACTGACTAATGGAAAAAAAAAAAAAAAAAAAGTCGCTTTCCAATTTGTTGCTTGTTGAGTTTACCGTTGGTCGTGTGATCCTCTGTGAGATTCCGGTTCGCCGTCGAGTCTCCAGAGTGAGCCCCGCAACTGGTGCCCACTTGCGCAAACTGTTGAGAGCGATACAGTGCGTAATCCAACTACACAAAGTGTACTTTGTCTAGCGAGAGAACGCGCTAAGATTGCAGACCGAATTTGTTGGTGCAAATTCGTCGCTGCAATCCAACTGCGATTGTCACCAAAGTGACTGCTGCCCTTCAGGGCCACAACCCACCTTCTTAGAAGGTTCGCAGTGGGGTTCCAACCCCCACACTACCCTCTCCAATCCCGCAGGTGTCGCCTCACGGGGAGGACAAGTGCACCTGCGTTAGATTGGTTAGGGCGCGGCCTGGATTTTTCAGGTCGTGTCGTGTCCCCAACGCAGGAGCAGACCCAAGAGCATGTCCCAACGGGGAAAAGCCCCTAGGAAACCCCCCGATAGGGGTAACCCACGCACAGTAGTGCGTCGGGACCTCACGGACCCGACCAAGCTCGTCCCCACCACCGAGTTGGGGACATTCCACGCTCGCCCGGGAACCAAAGGTACCCCCCCTGCCCTCGCGGGAAGCGGCAATGATGCCGCCGACCGGGAACAAGGCGGGGGGTAACGGGAGCACAACCTGGCCCCTCGAAAAGGCGCACGCCGCCGTCGCCGTCGTCGCCGGCTCGAGGTGACAAGAGGAGGGACATGGAGGAGTCCCCCCCGTCCGACATCGACCTAGAGAGGTCGCCTCCGAGGCCCCAGTTCCGTCTGGTGGACAGGAGCAACCAGCCCCTCCCCCAGACAGGTGCAATGCGGCGATCGCCGCTGCTGCCCCCGCGCTCATCTTCTCCCTCATCTGGAAGCGGGGAAGAAGAGACAGACGGGTGCTACTACGGCGACGCCCACTCGTCACCGCAGTCCCCTGTCCCCACACCCCGCGCCTCGCCCCGCGCCTCACCCCGCTCGTTCACCTTGAACCGGGGTGACTTTGACGTAACGTCATACGCGGGCATTGCTAGTGACCCGACAATGGAGTCAGTCCCGCCGCCCGTCCCCTCACCAAGGACGAGGACACCTCCGTCGTTTGCGGCGATAGCAGCAGGACCGTCGTCCTCAACCGCCACTCCGGCGGCAGCACCGGTCGTGCCAGCCCCCCCCCAACCCTCGGGAAGCGAAGGGCCAGCCACTGCGGCGGCTAAATATCCGCCTATAGTGGCTGAGAGGTTGCCGAACTGGACCCGCCACTTTGCGAATCTGGCGAGAGTCCTGGGCGAGGCACCCAACGCCCGCCCCTTCAGCACGGGATTCCGATTTCTCCCTAAGTCGGATGCGGAATTCCGTGCTATACAAAAGTACCTGGTGGAGGCTAGCGAGAGGGATCCCACCATAAGCTGGTACTACTACAGCCTGGCCTCGGAGCTACCGACCAAGGTAGCCATAAGGGGCCTCCCAGCGGACACCCCAATCGACAGCATAGTGGAGGCCCTGGAGCACAGGGGGTTCGGCGTGCGTTTGGTGCGCGGCATTCCGGCGCGCCGCGGCCGCCCCGGATGCATATTCCACGCACAGCTGGACCCCATGGCGAAAGAGGAGCTCGCTCGGCTATATGCCGTCACAGAGCTCCTCTGCATGCGAGGTGTGGTCATCGAGGCGTGGAAGCCGGCATCGGTGCTCGCGCAATGCCACCGATGCCAGGCGTTCGGGCACGCCTCGACAAATTGCCACCGTCCACTCAAATGCGTCCGCTGCGCGGGTGACCACCTGGCAGCGGACTGCGACCGCCCGCGGGACCACAAACCGACCTGCGCCAACTGTGCCAAGCCGCACACTGCCAATGACCGCAAGTGTGCGGTCTACAAAAGAGAGGCCAGGCAGAGGGGTATCAAACCCCGCCCCCCTCTCCCCCAGACGAATACAATTGTGCCTAGGGCGCAACAGCGGCGCGGCAAGCCCTCCGCGAAACCGCGCACATTTGTCGCCCAGGCCCCCCCTCCCGTTATTACGGTCGAGGAAGCCACAGACGTGAACCTAATGGCGCCGGCAAACGAACCGACGCAACGCGGCGTCGGAGCCGGCACCAAGAAGCGTCGCCGCCGTAGGCGTGGTAAGAAGAGGACCGGGGATGAGCCTGTCTTGGCATCGACGCCGGTCCCTTCCCACCGCATCCCGGAGGCGGACAAAGCGCCTTCCGCCCCACCCGCACCCACGGTACAAACAAGGGGCCCGCGAGCTGCACCGCGCCGCCGTCAGGCGGAGCTACCGGCACAAATAGTGCCGACAGTAGCCGCCGATTCGCGAGCGGTGGTCGCGCGAAATGCGCCCCCCGCACCCTCTGCGACGCGACCGGCACGTAGAGTGCCTGCGCCCGCGCCCAACACACAAGCGCCCGTCAACAGTGCATTAGATATGCTTATTAGCCTGTTGACGGAGCTGCTGCTCGCGCTCGCAGCCGGCGTGGACATAAAGTCGGCGGCGACAAAAGGATTGGCCAAAATAAACCAATACACGAATGGCCAGTAGCGAGCTACGCATCGTGTATTGGAACCCCGGGGGAGTGAGAGACAAGATCCAGGACCTCCGTCTCTTAGCTCACACCCAGGACGTACACATTATACTCCTGGGTGAAACGAAGCTGACAGAAAAGGAGACGTTGAGGGTGCCTAATTATCACGTGTACAGACGCGACGAAAGGTCACCGGCGGGCAAAGGGTACCGCGGCACAGCGGTACTAGTCCGCCGCGACGTAGTACACGTGGAATTAGAGCGCCCCGAGTTCCGCGTCATGCGCACCATAGGCGTGCGCATCAATGTCGACGGCGCGGAACTGAAGGTCCTGGCAGCGTATCGCCCCCGGTGCCTGAATTTTGCCCCTCCGATATCCGGAACGTACTGGATGGGAGGAGCCCTACCCTGCTAATGGGCGACCTCAACGCGAAACACACGGCTTGGGGTTCCCGTCTTGTTTCGCGGGTAGGTCGAAGGCTCCTCCAGGATTCCCAAATCCACGGGTACGAGGTGTTGGGCCCTGCACACCCCACCCACGTACCCACGAACCCGAGACATAACCCAGACGTTCTGGATATAGCCCTGGTACAGGCTGTGCCCTGCCCGGTGACATTGGAGGTGCTGTACGACCTCGATACGCAGCACCTCCCTGTCCTCGCCACGCTTGACCTCTCCCCCACCACCACATCGCCGAGACCGTCGAGGCGGCGGATGGATTGGCGCGTTTTTCGCGCAGAACTGGAGCACTTGCACCTCGACGGCGACCTATCAACGCCCGAGGGCATAGAGGCCGCCTCCGTCTTCTTCATGACGGAGCGAATTCGCTCCGCCACTGAGGCGGCCACTACCACCGTAAACGTGGCTTCTCGCCGTCGAGAGGAGCTGCCATACCATCTGCGCGAAAAACTGGCGCGAAAGAGAGATCTCCGCCGCCTATGGGCTCGCACCCGCTGCCCGCGGGTCAAGCGTGAGCTCAACTGCCTGGCTGCGGAGCTGTCGGAAGGGATGCGGGACTGGCGTGGCTCCTCCTGGGAGGCCGTCATCTCCCGGGCGGACGAACACGCCACCACCCTGCACGCACTCAACCGACAGCTCACCAACGCACGACCCCCGTCTGCCCGTTGCTAGACGAGACGGGCAGACGTTGTTACGCAGCTCAGGACCGGGCAGAAATCCTGGCACAGCACCTGGAGGGGCAATTTACGGCCAATCCCGTCGCCGCCGACGCACCACGCACTGTCGTCGAGCACCACGAGCGAGTCGTACGTCGCGTATGCGAATTCCGTACCGCTCCGTCGCCGGACGTAAACGAGGTGAGCTTCGTTTCGCCCGGCGAGGTAAGGCGGCTCGTCAGCCGCCTGCCGAAGCGCAAAGCGCCCGGAGCGGACGGGATCAGCACCGCAGCGCTCGCACAGCTGCCCCGTAGAGCCCTAGTATGTCTAGTGAGGCTCTACAACGGCATACTCCGGACCGGCCACTTCCCCAACAGCTGGAAGTTGGGTAGAGTCATAGTCCTCCCGAAACCCGGCAAGGACAAACGTCTGCCGGCAAGCTACCGGCCCATCACTCTGCTCTCGCACGTAGCAAAGTCGTTCGAGCGCCTTCTGCTCCGCCGCTTGAAACCGACCCTGTCGCCTCGCGACGAACAGTTCGGTTTCAGAGGCGGACACTCGACGACTTTGCAGCTGACGCGCGTGCTCCACCACATGGCTGTCGAGCACAACCGCGGCCACTACACGGTCGGCGTATTTCTCGATATAGAGAAGGCGTTCGACCGTGTGTGGCACGACGGTTTGGTGTCGAAATTGCTCGACACCAACACGCCGTCAGCATACGTGCGAGTAGTGGACGCTTTCCTCTCGGGCCGGAGCTTTTACGTTTCGGTCGAGAACTGTGACTCTACCACACGCCCAATCGCCGCCGGAGTCCCGCAGGGCAGCTGCATCTCGCCAGCGCTCTACGCGACGTACACAGACGACATCCCCACCTTGAGGGATGAGCTCCGAGAGGGGGAGAGGGATGTCGTCCTCGCACTATTTGCCGACGACAGTGCCTTCCTCACGTCGTCTCGCCGAGCCTACGCAGCCGCTCGCAAAATGCAGCGGCTGTTGGACCTGCTCCCCGAGTGGCTGGATAAGTGGCGTACCACCGTTAACGTGGGTAAAACGGTGGCGCTGCTTACCCGCCCCGGGGGCAAATATCCGCCGCCCCTCGTATTGAGAGGCCAGCCCATCCAGTGGGAACGCACAGTGCGTTACCTAGGGGTGGAAATCGACCGGTCGCTGCGTATGACGCCGCAGGTGGACCGGGCCGTTACCCAAGCCAAGGCCGCGCGCGCTATGCTGCGACCGGTCTTGCAATCCAGGCTGCAGCTGCGGACGAAGGTAGGCATTTATAAGACCTACATTCGTTCGCGGCTCACATATGCCGCCCCCGCATGGTACGCACTGTGCTCGGCCTCACAGCGGCGGAGACTGCAGGTCCAACAGAACGCCGCCCTCCGTCTGTGCACAAATGCCGGACGGTACGTCCGTAATGACGTGATCGCCCGCGACCTCAAGGTCCCATCGGTGGAGCAGTTCGTCGTCCGGTTGACGCGCGCGATGTTCTCGCGCGCGGACAGCGGGCGCGAAGCGCACCTGCGCGACCTCGCCCCTCTCCACGCGCGCCCACCGGACGCCACTCGCGCGCTCCCGCGCGACTTACTCTCCACCGAGTGATCACGTCATTTACGTGACGTGGCGGCGTTAAGCCGGCTCGGCGAGCGACTTTAAAACAGTCCTCCCACACGACTCCCTCAGCCGGCTGCTGGGAAGCAGCCGGCTTCCGGCCGGCCGGCAGGCCGGCCGGTAAACGAACGACGCTGGGGTGGCACACCCCAGCAGTACGCCCGGGCAAAGAGCCTATGCTCGAGGCCCGCACCCGGCGGTCCGTAAGGACCAGCGGACGACCTCGACTGACTGACTAATGGAAAAAGGGGAGGGCGTCATCTCCCGGGCGGACGAACACGCCACCACCCTGCACGCACTCAACCGACAGCTCACCAACGCACGATCCCCCGTCTGCCCGTTGCTGGACGAGACGGGCAGACGTTGTTACGCAGCTCAGGACCGGGCAGAAATCCTGGCACAGCACCTGGAGGGGCAATTTACGGCCAATCCCGTCGCCGCCGACGCACCACGCACTG